CACGAGGCGCCCATTCACTTTGTACAGGCGAGCTGTGACTGCACTTTTCGCTTTTCAGTGACCGGAACTGAACTCCCTACTAGTAATAACCACTGAAAGTGTGTGAGTGACAGTTTTTTCTTATCCAGAACATTTGCCTTATCTGAACACCGCCTGACAGTTGTCTGCCCAGACGTGGTCGGATAATCGATGTTCAACTGTATAGCGCCCACGGTAGTATCGATGTGGGCCATGACCATGTTTACGCCATGTTAGTGGTACGTGTGCTGTTGTGTACACAGGTGTTGTATATACTCTTTTCCATGTCCATGCCATGTCCATGCCATGTCCATGCCATGGCCATGCCATGTCCATGCCATGTCCTTGTTTGCACGATTCAGGCTAGCTACGTACGGTGCAACTGTATTCATATGCATGCATAATTGCGCCTGTAACAACTTGTTTCGAGCCGAGGAATAGATGCTCAATGGGAGTAGATAGCATGGTATATATAGGGGGAGAGCATAGGTGATAAGTAACACAATGCAAGTGTAGATGATGTAAGTGTGGGAATAAGGTGTGAATGGAAGTGTGTGTGTAAGCGCTAACTCAATGCTGGTGAGATATGTCACAGCGCCAACGTGTAGAAGCGCACACGATTCAAGTCGTGCAACATGTGCATTCGAAGCATTGAAGACTAGCAGCACATACCTACCTGGTATATCTACAGACTACACGACTGCATTGGTGAACTCAAGTACTGCGTTGTGCATCTTTTTATTGTTTTTTTGGATCTTGGAGGTCACAGGCATTTGGGATAATCGGTCTTCGGGATAGTTTGATGTGCGGATAATCGGTGCTCTACTGTATGCGTGTGATATATTTCTACGCCTTCAGACGTGCATCGGACTGAACTGTGGACCACTGGAACGTGCGCTATTGCTGCTGCAAACATCTACAGGTGATGCAGAGGACACCAGCCGTCAACATTCAATTTTGCATGTGTCTGAAAAAATAATTTTCCGAGTGTGCTGCTTGTTGCCGCTTGTTGCCGCTTGTTGCCGCTTGCTGCTGCTATATTAGTTGTTGTGTGTGTGTCATAGTCGTCGTGATGTCATAGCAGTGTGCTTGTGCGGATGTCTGTGTGTGCTGAGGAGATGCTCCCCGCATGAAACTAACGGTTGCCAGCATGGCTGCTTGTACCCCATGGGCTTACAAGGAGCGTATTGTGTATGCCTCCCCTATTGTAAACCACTCAGCAGTTTACAGCACCAAGTATAAGGCTGGTGGTGGGGGGGGGGGATGGGATGTGACGGCGTAACCGCTGCACGTCCAGTTTGAAAGGTATGCATGCTTCAACGACATTACTGGATTGTGCCGTTCCAGTCGAAGCAGTAAAGTATGTGTGGGGGGGGGGCAGCGAATTTGCCTCCTTGCTGCTTGGAAAAAGTACTAATACTATGCTTTTGCGGCATGGTGTTGTGCGGAGCCTCCCTGCCGCTTGGAATGTACACCCACATGCTGCTGTTGTTATGCAGCATAACTCTAACGTTAGCAGTAAGGTATGCGTGTGTGTGTGTGTATGTGTCAGTGAGTGGAAGACATAGAGAGGCTGAGAAAGGAGAGACCGGTGTCTGAATGCAATGGCGTGTTGCTGATGCTGGTGCTGTTTGTAATGACTTGTATTGGTGGCGTGCTGCTGCTACAATGCTGTCATTGTGTACTGATTTGCATGCGCTGAATCCTGGGGGGGGGGGGGGGGCAGTGGACGCGTGCTTGTTACAAGTCCGAGTGGAGTTCACCTCTGCATGTAGTACGAGGTGTGCGGTATTGTGTGTGTGTCTGTGGGGAGGGGGGGGGGGGGCAGTGGACGTGTGCTTGTTACAAGTTGAAGTGGAACTCACCTCGGCATGCAGTACGAGTTGTATTGTGTGTGGGGGGGGGGGGCAGCTTATGCGTCCCCGCTTCCAGCACGGTGCTGCTCAATGAAATCCGATCGCGCCAGTCAAGTTTGCATCTTGCACCATTTTGCAGCCCAGTGTTCACAGGTCTAGGGCTGCGCAATGCCCTGCGTGTACTTGAGTGACGCGACTGGATTTTATTGAGCAGTGCTCTACTTTTATGGTGTGCAGTTTGCAGCACTGAGGTTGGAATGGGGGGGGGGGGGGAGGCAGATACCATCCGGTCTGTGGAACAATCTAGATCAAAGGAGTTAGAGTGCATATTCCTCTTTGACCACCGTGAAATAATGACAATAGTGAAATGTTGCTTCCAAGAGGGGGAGATGCGATTTGCACCCCTTTTTAAAGAGGGTGTGGGGAGGTGCTGCTTTCACCCGTACAGTGGAGTCGCGCGCCCAAGAACTTTGTTTCCAAGGGGTTAGCTGGACGGTCTTATTTTTCAGCAATCTGGATGTGTTCTTATAAACAATCCGTTCTGGATCATATGTATCACACAAGCTGCCAGGAAACCAACACCGCAGTGTTTAGCTTTAGGCTGTGGCGTTCTTAGAATTTCAGGCTCCACGTTCTTCAGCACGCGACTACTGTAAGGGGGGGGGGGGGTGCAGCTTGAATCCCGTAAAATACAGTGCTCTCATACAGTGGTTATAGTAAAGAAAAAGAACCAAGGAACTATAACTTGAAGTTACGCTATAATGTCCACTAACAGCACCAGTTATTTGACAATCAACAACTTGTAGTTCCTTGGCCCCTTTTCTCTACTATAAATTATTCATTGGCTCTCCATCCGAGCCTATCCTCTTATACAGTGTTCTTGCTATTTCTTCTGCATGGTTATACTTCCTTTCAGAATATCTACTGGTATACCTCGGGAAACGCTCTCCTCACCTCCAGAAGTGCCGCCCGTATGAAACCTCGCAGCCATATACGTGTTTCTGTGTTGCCAGCTGCTACAATCTGTGATCCAATGGAAATTCTACCAAGTGAGTATTCAGTGCTCCGAAAGAGATTCGAAAAGTGATTTCAAAGTTCTAGTATATTTTTAAAAATGCCTTGGAACGGAGCATCTCTAGAAACTCAATCTGGATTTTTGATTTTCGAATTTGAACGTGCATGGTTCCAAGATATTTGAGATCCTCTCAAATGTGTGTGTGTGTGTGGAGGGGGGGGGGGCTGCATGTGTGTGGTGTGTATCCAGGCGCCGAGCGCTGCAGCAAATTTCACAAGCAAAGCAGCTAGGTTTCGCCGGACCAGCTCCGCAAAACATTGCTTAAACATTGTTTCTACCTTCAAGCGAACGGCAACGCAAGTGGAGGGGGGGGGTAGAGTCCTGTCATGAGCACTGTCTGTGCTTTATGTAGCATCAGCACATTGCATGCAAACGCCCATGTGACGCAGCGCAGTTTACTGGTGTGAAGTGCCACTACACATGGTTTTTGTTACCGCTTGCTTGCTTCTCTTTGCCATTTGCGGGAAAAAAAAGAAGCAGTCCAGATGTCAAAACCTCCAGCGTAATATTTGGGAGCAGCATAATAATTCAAGAATAAAGGAGAATGATCTAAGGTTGCTGTATCAGATTCATTAAATGATTCCCGTGAGAAGCACCATTGACTTGATGCTTGCTTGAAGCTTGACCCGAATCATTTCGTATTTCCACCCAGCAACCCCCTCGTTCTGAGTACAGTTGACTATGAAAAATCGAAAGGAGCTAGGTAAGCTGTGTGGTGTAGACCAGGCCGAATAGTGGCGGCCAATTCTTCAGCCTTGCAAACTGTTAAATGATGCAATCCCAGCACAAGTTGCTATGGCTTCTGCTGTAGCATCGCTATCATCGCCTCTGGCGATGGGTGTCAAAGGGTCAAATGGTGTGTGTGCATGTGTGTGTGTGTGCATGAACGTATATGTGTGTGTGTGTGTGTGTGTGTGTGCAGATTGGACAAGTTCACCGACAGTGTTTTTGTGCAGTCCTGAAAAGAGGTCTTGTTCACACAGAGCACAGACACGCAGCCTCGTCATGGACTTGGGCATCTATGGCAACTGCTAATCTACCTGCAAACTACATCTCACAGCCTCAGTGCATTCAGCTTTCCCAGGATTGGAGAGACTTTGGTGATCTTAGCTATCCGAAACCACCTAGCTTACCCAAGTTAACTTGTCAGCTCCATCATCAGAATGACTTGTCTCACCTCAGGATTACTGTCTCACCTCAGGATTACTGTCTCACCTAACAGCTAGCATCGCTTTCGGTAAAGAGCATTCCCAAAGCGGGTGTGTTGGCGTGTGTTCCGTTGTCTGATGACTGTGTGTGCAGCAGAAGCAGCAGCAGCAGCACACATGATAACACAGGTCAACTGTGCAGCTGCCTGAAATCGTACCCTGCTGCAGGGGTCTGCAATCTTGCCCGGCTGCAAATCGTGCAATTGTGCCCGCTGCTGCGGCTATCTGTTTACTCCATGTACTCCATGTACTGCGTTACATTATAGTGTTTAAAGTGGCTACGTAGCGTTTTCTGCAGCAATGGTTACATGTTGTACTTGTAGTAGTGTTGGTACAGCTGCTGCTGCTGCTGCTGCTGCTGCTGCTGCTGCTGCTGCTGCACGTAACAATGTATGTACTGACCGGCCATATGCCGTAATACACCAATACGGTACATGTGGTACTTGCTATACTGTAAGTGCAGTGAGTGCAGTGCTGCCAACCTATCAGGAATATTCAGTGAGTGGCATACTGTCAGGAATATTCAGTGAGTGGCATACTGTGGCGCCCTTGCCATCACTTCTCTAGCCAACTTACACACCAACAGTGCAGTTATTGCACCTATGGTATCACGCTGGTGTGTTCCCCCCCCCCCCCCCTCTCTCCTCTCTTTCCCTCTGCATGGCCAAGCGTGTGCAGCTGCATAATAATAATTATGTTCTTGCTTTGTTTATACCATCATGATTGTGTTCTTTTTGTGTGTTTGTTTTCAGTCCCTTGTGTTCTGTGTGTGTGTCTCTGGTGATGGATGTGTGTCATCATCTCATGCATGGCTGACTAGCTACACTCCCCAGCAGACACTCTCACACTCACATCCATACTAAGCATGGTAGGTATAATTATGATTGATCAACTGTCATCGGGTAGAATCAGAGTCGGAGGTGAGAACTTTGCAAGTGCTATGACTTAATCAACTCTGATTGGCCGAGGCAGTTGACCAATCATTTCAGGTGTGAAGTTCAGAGGCAGGATAGGCTATAAAAGTAATTTTTCTGGTAGGGGATGGTGGTCGGGGTTTGGGATGGCTAATTCTGCAGAATAATCTTCACATGAAATTTCTTCGCCGGCCTTTCTTCTTGCTGGCTTGCTGTTGGCTGCTGTCCTTCCACCTGCAGAAACAAACAACATGCTCATGAAGAAGTCATGGAGGAAGCATCTCATGTACAGACACTGCACCTATACATCCCTGTTGCATGCTACAAGATATTAAAAGTTGAATTCAGAACAAGAATCTACTAGGGAAGGTTGGGGGGGGGCACTTGCTTTCTCCAAAGGTTCGGACGGGTTCACAGAGCAATGGCGCTGTCAATGAGTGAGGCACTATGCATACCAACAATATCCGTACATGATCATAGATGTGTGTGTGTGGGGGGGGGGGGGGCAACATCACTGAGTCTGTTGTTTGAAAGAAATTGGACCCAGAGAACATGTCACGTTGCAGTGTGGATGTGCGAGGTATGATAATCATGATTACTGTGTGTTGTTTGTATTTTTTACAATGATTTTTGTATGTCAAAAGGGGATCAGGGATTTTTGACTCGTTCTTTTTGCCCTTGAAAAGAGGCTTGTGTTATGATTCCATGTACGTATGCGTGTTGAGTACATGATTGTATAGCACCAAGAGTACATAACCCCAAAAGTGTGCAACTGCCTGCATAACCTCTATGCAGTGCTGCAACGGCAGAACTTCACATCACGTGACATGGTTCAAAAGGTTACACTGGCAAACAGTGCAAAGTGACCACAAGAGAGTTGTACTCCAAGCTCGGTTGCGTACACCCCTGTATCAATCATGCACAGAGTGCAAATAATGTGTACGGGTTCATCACGTGACGTGAAGTTCTGCCGTCGCAGACCCCATAGCTGAAGTTGCACACTCTTGGGGGTTATGTACTCTTGATAGTACTGATAGCATGTATCTAAAATGGCTCAGTATGCTGGATAGTGACTGTCGCCTTGTAGTGCACGCCTGGCCCATGCACCAGGCGCACAACACTGATACAGGGAGCATAACAACCCCCCCCCCCCCCCACACACACACACATACCCGACATCCGCCCAGAAGCCCGTGAAACTCTGAATGAACAAAATAATGCCAAACAAGTTGTGAAACAACCAACAATACACTTTGTTTGTTTTCGGGATTATAAGCTTGCCGCAGGGAATGTGGGTCACCAAGAACATACGAGATACAGTGCGTATCGGTTATAGCGTGGTCGTGTAAAAGAAAATACTGCCTACAAGAATGAACTCTCATGTTTTCATAATCATAACATGGGTTTCAAGTGGACATTAATTTTATTCTTACAAACAATTTTATCGCATAGTGGAATATATCGGTCCTAAGAATGGACTTTGTGTAGCGAAACATGCCAGATTAGTGCAAAGTGTATCGCCTGTAGTAATAACATCTGTTCAGATCTGACTCGTGTTGTAGTGGCTAGTGCTGCAGTTTCAACTGTTTTGGTTATGTAACTCACGTTGCATAGCCGCATGGTAAGCCTATGGGACTATAACCAGCCGCGTGCACAGCAGCACTACGTTGCATGTACGATGATTCTTCCTGCCTCTGCGCACATGCATATGATATGTCAAGTTGTTTTTCAAACACCCACGCTATAACCGATACCTACTGTACACTGGCCTTTTGTTGGCACTGTTGTGTAACATTACAGGCAATGTTGTGGAACATTACAGGCAATGTTGTGGAACATTACAGGCAATGTTGTGGAACATTACAGGCAATGTTGTGGAACATTACAGGCAATGTTGTGGAACATTACAGGCAATGTTGTGGAACATTACAGGCAATGTTGTGGAACATTACAGGCAATGTTGTGGAACATTACAGGCAATGTTGTGGAACATTACAGGCAATGTTGTGGAACATTACAGGCAATGTTGTGTAACATTACAGGCACTTTTGCACTTACACGTGTTCATGATGTTCTGCTCTCACATGATGTTGGAGCCTACCTCATTACCTCATTACCTCATCCAGATGAATCCTGCAGGAAATACAAACAAACAAAGAGAGATCATTCTCAAGTCAAAATACAGTCCAGTACACCAGGGGTGAATCCGGAGATTTCTACACTTACAGGGGGTCCTAGATTTGCGAAAGTTAGGGGGTTCTGCAGACCCCCGTGGATCCGCCCCTGTACACATAGCACTTTCAAAATGTTATGGCTTACAGTACATCATAGCCTGCAATACACCAGTACGTGTAGTACTCCATAGTACACATGAATGGTGTGCAGTACTCCATAGTACACATGAATGGTGTGCAGTACTCCATAGTACACATGAATGGTGTGCAGTACTCCATAGTACACATGACTGGTGTGCAGTGCATAGTACAAAGCCAAGCAACACAATGCTTGCCGTTGTCAGACAGACTCAAGCGAGAACAGATAGGAAAGGAAGACCTATTGTATATTCTTTAGTTACACAGCAACAGTCAACACAGCTCCACATTAACCAAACTACCACAGTCAACACACCGCTACAGGCACCACACCGCCACAGTCACCATACACCCACCGTCACCAAAACTCCTCTGGCACCCGTGTCTGCTCTAGGATTTCAAACCAACCGGGTACACATGAACCTGGCACAACCATTGCAACCCGGGGTCAGAGCCGGGTCAGAGCCGGGTCAGAGCCGGGTCTGTTCAAGTGCGGCTACTGCATGTACATCAGCCTATATGATCAAGGAGTTTTAAATATTTTAGCGCTCTCTGATGTATGTAGTATTCACAACCGGGTCACTGGTGACCCGGTGTTCTTTTTCCAAACGGGTCCAAGTACCCCCCAACCGGGTCGCTGACCTGGCTGACCCGGCTCTGGAGCAGACACTAAGTCACAGCACCGCCACAGTCAACACATCGTCACAGTCCCTCAAACTACCAATGTCAGTACTCATTTACGCACACCGCCACAGTCACCACATCGTCACAGTCCCTCAAACTACCAATGTCAGTACTCATTTACGCACACCGCCACAGTCAACACATCCCAATAGTCGACACAACCCTACAGTGGTCACACCGCCATAGTTGACACAACACCATAGTTGATACATGCCTACAGTCAACAGAACAATAAAGTCAACACACCGCCACAGGTGTAACCCCACGACAGTTACTACACCACCAAGGTAAGCACACAGCAACCGTCAACACATGGCCACAGCCGGCCCACTACCCCAAGCAACACAGAGCCCCGGTGCACAGCTGCAGTCACCACTCCGCCACAGTCGACATACCGCGGCACCACAGTGACCACACAGCCACAGTCAATACTCACCACCAATTTAAAGTCAGCACAAAGCCACAGTCGACCCCCGCCCACAGTCGGCACACGGCCACAGTTGCTCCACTATTACAGTAAACACAAAGCGACCTCGACACAGAGCTACAGTCAACACAGAGCTACAGTTGCCACACGGAATAGGCGGTGCACAGCGACAGTGGGCATATCACCACAGTTGTCACAAACCAAAATCCGGCATACTGCTGCAGTTGATACACTGTCATAGTCAACAACAAACCCATATAGAGTATAGTTGACACACGGTCATAGTCATCACAAGGCCCCGGTTGACACACCACCACGGCACCATGAACAGACAATACACCACAACAGTTGATGCGTCACCTCAGTCAACACAAACCCTGACACACAGCCACAGTCGCCGCATTGCCATAGTCGGTGCAAAGCAACAGTCGGCACATCGCTACAGTCGACACACTGTCCAAGGTTCTAGTCAGGAAAACATGTGAGTGAGTGGGGGAGGGAGAGCAAACAGTTCTCCCATTTTCTACTATGTTGTACTATTGCCCTGTCAGAAAGCAGTGTAACGCCTGGGCGAACAGAGCACCTTGAAGAATCAATTTGCGGCCGTGTTTTTTCCTGTGTGAACTGAAAACACGATTGAAAAATGATTAGGGTGGTGCGCCATCAGAGTGGGGGTGGGGGGGGGGGCATCATAGTAGGGGGGACATCAGAATAGGGTGGTGCGCTATCAGAGTATGGGGGGGGGGCATCAGAGCAGGGTGGTGCGCTATTAGAGTATGGGGGGGGCATCAGAGTAGGGTGGTGCGCTATCAGAGTAGGGGGGGGGGGCATCAGAGTAGGGTGGTGCGCTATCAGAGTAGGGGGGGGCATCAGAGTAGGGTGGTGCGCTATCAGAGTATGGGGGGGGGGCATCAGAGTAGGGCGGTGTGCTATTAGAGTAGGGGGGGGGGGGCATCAGAGTAGGGTGATGCGCTATCAGAGTATGGGGGGGGGGGGGCATCAGAGTAGGGTGGTGCGCTATCAGAGTATTGGGGGGGGGGCATCAGATTAGGGTGGTGTGCTATCAGAGTATGGGGGGGGGGCATCAGAGTAGGGTGGTGCGCTATCAGAGTATGGGGGGGGGGCATCAGAGTAGGGTGGTGCGCTATCAGAGTAGGGGAGGGCATCAGAGTAGGGTGGTGCGCTATCAGAGTATGGGGGGGGGGCATCAGAGTAGGGCGGTGTGCTATTAGAGTATGGGGGGGGGGGGGGCATCAGAGTAGGGTGATGCGCTATCAGAGTATTGGGGGGGGGGCATCAGATTAGGGTGGTGTGCTATCAGAGTATGGGGGGGGGGGCATCAGAGTAGGGCGGTGTGCTATTAGAGTATGGGGGGGGGGCATCAGAGTAGGGCGGTGTGCTATTAGAGTATGGGGGGGGGGCATCAGAGTAGGGTGATGCGCTATCAGAGTATGGGGGGGGGGCATCAGAGTAGGGCGGTGTGCTATTAGAGTATGGGGGGGGGCATCAGAGTAGGGCGGTGTGCTATCAGAGTATGGGGGGGGCATCAGAGTAGGGCGGTGTGCTATTAGAGTATGGGGGGGGGGCATCAGAGTAGGGTGGGGCGCTATCAGAGTAGGGCGGTGTGCTATGAGAGTATGGGGGGCATCACAGTAGGGCGGTGCGCTATCAGAGTACGGGGGGGGGGGGGGGGGCATCAGAGTAGGGTGGTGCGCTATCAGAGTAGGGTTGGGGGGGGGGGGCGTCAGAGTAGGGCGTTGTGCTATCAGAGTATGGGGGGGGGGCATCAGAATAGGGTGGTGCGCTATCAGAGTATGGGGGGGGGCATCAGAGTAGGGTGGTGCGCTATCAGAGTACAGTTGGGGGGCATCAGAGTAGGGCGGTGTGCTATCAGAGTATTGGGGGGGGGCATCAGAATAGGGTGGTGCGCTCATCAGAGTATGGGGGGTGGGGGAGCGTCAGAGTAGGGTGGTGCGCTATCAGAGTATGTGTGGGGGGAGGTGGGGGGCATCAGAGTAGGGCGGTGTGCTATCAGAGTATGGGGGAGGTGGCATCAGAGCATACTGGCCAACCCTCCCGTTTTTCCCGGGAAAATCCCGGAAAATCAACACTCCTCCCGGGGTCCCGGGGATTTCAAGCAAACTCCTGGAAAAACCACAGTTTGTCGGATACAGGATTTTCCTGAAAACTCCATGGATTCGCCCCGAATGTCCCGGTTTTTTGAACTTTTTTTAAAGGTATGTACGGTGCTCATTCGCACTTCGAACTGTGCACAGCACTTTCAAGACCTTACCATGCCTAGCCTGCAAGATCTGCACTGACAAAGTGACAAGCGGGCGCCGACTGATCAAACTGCACTACAGGGTCGAACTGTGCTGTGCGCAGAGCTGCAGAGTCGAACGTTTTTTGGCGGGAAAACTCTTTTTCACTTGTTTTTGTGCCATCCAGGGATTTTGAGAGAAATCCAGGGATTCTACATGTCTTGTCAAGGGATTGTGATTGTGGTGGTTGGTCAGTATGTCAGAGTAGGGTGGTGCGCTATCAGAGTATGGGGGGGGGCGTCAGAGTAGGGTGGTACGCTATCAGAGTATGTGTGGGGGGCATCAGAGTATGTGGAGGGGGGGGCATCAGAGTAGGGTGGTGCGCTATCAGAGTATAGGGGGGGGGCATCAAAGTAGGGTGGTGTGCTATCAGAGTGATTCCCCGCCATTTCTGCGCCCTCGAGTTCAACGCAAACCAGGTGAGCGTGACCGTTTCAGTGTCGTGAACCTAAGCGCCGAATTTTACAGCACCACATATTTCAGCACCGGGTACATGTACTTCAGTGCCAGCATATAAGCGCCGATTATCTCAGCGCCACATAAATCAGTGCCAAATACGTCAGCGCGACCTTTTCTCAGCGCGACAGATCTAAGCGCCACAGATCTAAGCGCCACAGATCTAAGTGCCACAGATCTAAGCGCCATGTTTCTCAGCGCCATTTTATTATACATGCACAATGTATTGTGTGTTGCTCCCTACGTAGGAGCTTGCGCTATTCCTGCCGACTTGGATTCTCACTTCACTGACTCAGGATTGCCATCCAGAGCACACGAGAAGTACATTGTTGTCCCCGGCGCGATCCCCGGCGCGGGATTGCGAATTAGATGGTTTGGAGGCAACAACGTTGTGAATGGCCAACGGTCCTCAGCGCTTGTTCAGCACCTCCATGAGCGACACTGACTCCCGCTGCTATCTGGTGTTCACGAGGTCTTTGTCGCGCTGCAAACGGAGAGACTCTGTAAGTTTGTATCCCTGGTGCTGTTTGTGCCTGGAGAGCACTATCTAAGTGGTGCTCTTTGGGCACAATCTTCCTCAGTCTACTCAAGCTCAACTGATGAGGGGTGAATTCCCCGGAATATTGTGTATTGAGCAGGGAGTGGTGCTTTCTTGCAGGTTTGCCGAGTCGACGGTTCGATGGACTTCTCGTGTGCTCTGGATGGCAGTCGTGACTCAGTGAAGTGAGAATTCAAGTCGGCAGGAATAGCGCAAGCTCCCACGTAGGGAGCAACACACAACTCCCGAAGTATCGCCGAAGTCGCACCAACCTCTTCTTCACAATAGGGAGGTTTCGCTCTACGGAATTACGTATGAAAATAACGTATGAACTGCACGGAATTTTCATACGTAAAAATCAGAGCTGTTGGGTTTCGCTCTACGTGATTTCTCCACGACTGCTCAACATGCGTTGTTGCTTTGGAGACGCGTTGGCTGCATGCGCCCACCGCATGCACCATGAACCGAAACCGCGTTTTCCATTTTATTTTGCACGTGGTGTACGGTATGTGTAGCTTGTGTTTCGCGCGGCTTGAATGTTGCCATGGACAAATGCGGAAAATGCGAAAAAAAATATTTCAAAAAGTTCTACGGAGGACCCAACGTAGGAAAGAGCTTTCCTACGGAAATCCGTAGAGAGATTTACGTATGAAAGTTGCCCTCGCTCCCCGGCGCGCACGACATACGGATTTTCATACGTAATTACGTAGAGCGAAACCTCCCTAATGTACAATGTACAATGTACAATGTACAATGTATGTATGAACATCGCCTGTAATGACTATTACTGTACAAGTATTGACTGTACAACTGTACAAGTATTGACTGGACAAGTATTGACTGTACAAGTATTGACTTCGCGCTCTACTGTATCGCGCTCTACTGTATCGCGCTGTACTTCTTCGCGCTGTAAATTAACGCGTCCAACTTTTTCGCGCTGATTTGCTGGCGGTGTACTTTACCGCGCTGATCGTCACGGCGCTGAAGAAGCTGGCGCTATGAAATAATGCGCTGAAGTGCTGGCGCTGAAATGTATCACGCTGAAACGATGGCACTGAAGTGACAAGTCACCAGTATGGGGGGGGGGGGGTGTGTCAGAGTAGGGTGGTTGTGTTATCAGAGTATGGGGGGGGGGAGGGGGGGGGGGCTGCGTCACTTAGTCACATCATAGACGTGCACAAGCACATTAGCAAGCACACCCAGTATAGGCTGCTGTGCCTGGCACTGTGCAATGCCATACGCATTTGGCAGCACTCGGGCATACAAGTAAATACCACGATGAAAATGGTGGCGGCAACAACAGTGGCAGGGACCGCTACCACGCCAATACTACCACACAGGAACGTCTGACACAGCGTGATTCAAATATCACTACATGATTGTACTCTTAACGACATTTGGTCTCAATCGGTTTAGGCATCTTGAAACTCAGCCTGGCTCTGCTAGGTGCCTTTCATACATGTAATCATTGGTCCCTTGCTACCCAGCATCTAGGGAGGTCACACGCATGCTTGTGCATGGAACAATGGGCGCTCCGTCACCGGATTGTGAGTTTTTCTACGTGGCCCATCGTCTATGCAACTCTCGAAAGCTGCATGACGTGCTGACCACAAACACCGTGGCCCAGACCAGCAATGCTATGACGTGAGAATGTATAAATTAGCACTGCTCTAAGGAACACTGGAGCAAGACGACCGGGAGTGAATCCCACTTTATTTCATGTTACAGTTTCCCCATGTTGTCTCCCTGTATGGTGCTACGACTCTCTGGTGCAAACAAACAAGCAGATATACTCGTAACGAGTCATAAGCAAAGAAAAAAGGCCACTGCATCCTGGCGTTGCCAAAAATCATACGCCTCCAAGTCCTAAAGGTTGAGAATAAGGCAGCAGGTGCGACCCATGTAGTTAATGTCGTGGACATGGAAATCCAGTCGAATGACCAGGGCCGGCGCCCTCAGCGCGCACAGAACGTTGCATGCAGTGCACATGTTGATCCGATGCGACCAGCGCGCTGCGGCGCATGAATGAATGTGTGCACGGTATGCGTACTCACGGCTGCATGACCAGCGCCCTGGAGCCACTAGACGTGCGACCGGATTTCCATGTCCATGACAGTACTAGCACTTCATAATTACTTACCTCCTTTCGGCCACTAGCAAAGTGCCCCGTGAACTCCATCTGGTTTCTTGCAGAGCCACTCGTACATGCTTGCAGCCAGTACCGTGCTAAGCGTACTGAAACCGTGTAGCCATTCCGTGTCCAAACAGCAGCCATTCCGCGACTCCCAAACAGCAGCCATTCTGTGGCTTAACAGCAGCCATTCCATGACCCGCAAACAGCAGCCATTCCGTGGCCCGCAAACAGCAGCCATTCCGTGGCCCGCAAACAGCAGCCATTCCATGTGCATACAGCAGCCATTCCAGGTCCAAACAGCAGCTACAATCACTGGGTGCCGCCATAAGCTGAAATTGTCCTTCCAAAATTGCTGGCTATGAGGCAGGTGTCACCAAGCAGAGTTCAGTCCGATGAAATTGTTCTTGCAGACTTTCCGTTCAGTTTATAGCAGCTATTCTTGCTGATACAGTTGCTCGCATGTCAGACCAAAGCTGCTGCATTCAAAACTGCTAGTAACCATTACACGTCGTGTGGGCTGTGGACGGAGTAGAATTCCACAACTCTGGATAGAAAGAGTTAGGCTATGACCATAACAGCGCTGATACTAATCCGGAAGATGTTGGGTGCTCCTGACAAGACTAGTGTCCACAGCCGCTAGCCACTTAGCGGTCGCTTGAACTAACTTGTAAGCGGAAAGCTGTTCGCTTGTCACAAACTCTCCGTTTCCAACACGTAGCACACGGTCACGAAATTCAGCGGCGGCATCACCACGCCAGTACTACCCTTACCAACCATTCGAGGAAGGAGAGATTAGAATAATGAGCACTGAATGATTGAACGGAGATTGAGTAGATACAGTGAGTAAAATCCCAACTCAAACAAGCAAACATGCGGAAATCGTTCCCATAATTTGAAAGTGATTTACTTCATGGGTCCAATTTTTTTGCCAGGGACTGTTGTTTCCGCGTTGCCTGAATCATGCGAATGAAGATAGAGATTAGAGTACTATATCTACATCACAACTTCGTGTAGATTATGTACTTCTTACTTGGTGGTCCACACTGCGGTGGTAAACGAGTTACGTTCCCACATGCACCACTACTTTGTACGACATCTATCCGGGATGTAACAGTCCCTCATTACTGTTACTGTTTCATCCAATGATTGACTTGTGTCATGCTAGCTGTATGTCAGGGCACTGTTTACATGGTGGGTTGCGAAGAACAGTGGGAACTCAAATGCCTGCCTACTGCCTCGCGTGTGCCACAGCCACTTTTGTCGTCACTAAACTGATCTTCTTCTAAGGTCACGGAGATCCAGGAATTTGTCGTGTGCCTCGCACTTCGGCGATTGCGCCTACGATGTTGCTCATGCGATGGTCGGTCGCGAACGCCTCGATACATCAATGAACACACGCAGTGAGGTTTGCGTAAGTAACGTTAGTTTAGAGTTGGGAATCGGATGTTAGGAGCTGCAAGACAACTGACCAGCCCGCCACTCGTGTTCCTCGGTCCGCGTTCAACAAGGCCAACAACCATCCTTCCGTCACCTTACATGGTGCTGTCATTTGCTACTTCGCACGACCTTACACTGCCTCCGAGTCAATCAGGTCCAACATCAGCAAAATACCTAGTACATGTATTATCGTTATGGCCCGTAGAGGTAGAGGAAGGGCAAGACCACCGAGATCAAACTCGTCAACGCAACTACCCAAACTTAATCCATCATTAGAGTCACACGAAATTCGTATGCAAACCTTCTGAACGACCGTTTCAGCTTCTCTCTTTATCCCACCCGTGCCTCGTCCCGACCCGTGTTGCTACAAACACGAACAGCCGTCAAGTCACTTGAACTCGACTCAATCGCACTCTCAGTGGAATGACTTTTCCGCCTCTCCGGCTGAGATTTTTCGACCGAAAATCGACACGCTTTCCATCCTGCCAACTCAACGGTAACAGAAGTAGCGGAACAGTCGTCAACTCACTTCTCTCCAACGCAATCACACCCTTGCAGTCTATGGCTTTGTCGTGCGCCCAGCTGGGAAATATCACCCGAGCGTCGACACTGTTTCGCCTCCGCGCACGGAAATATGGCAACCAAAACTCAATCCATCATCAGAGTCACACGAAATTCACCGGTGCAAACCTTCTGAACGACCGTTTCACCTTCGCCCTTTATCCCAAGATTTCACACCACTTCAGCGAGAAACTGTGAGGCATTCTTTGGTCAGGAGGAGTCACAACCTTCCCAGTGCCGAGATCAGACATTTCCGCCGACAATCGACACAGTTTCGCCCTCGCACACGAGGTCACCGCATTGGTTATTCAGCTGCCGAGGCATTGAATCTATCGAACAAGATTTCATGCCAAGAAAATCATCACCAAGAAAATCACTCATTAATTCAGGAGAGCACACGAAATTCGTGTACAAAGCTTTGGACCCGCTTGTACATTGGTCCAGGTCACCCAGCCCCTGACCATCAACTCGAACGCCCACCCAGTGACCCTCGCATAGGTAGCATGCACTCGTACGAGCACATGGTAGCGGAACAACAAACACCGCCCGGAACTCACGTAACACCGCTCCAGTGCGAGTTCGGGAAAGTAGCATCCCGATGACCAATGTTGTTCTCACCTGCTGCCTCCTCAATGGCAACAGAAGTACCGCAACAGTCGTCAACTCGCTTCTCTCCGACGCAACTTCGACGCAGTCGCGCCCTTAGTTTATGGCTTTGTCGTGCTTCCGGCTGGGCAATATCGCCCGAGCGTCGACACTGTTTCGCCCCCGCACAGGGACACGAGACTCAGGTGCAAACCTTCTGAACGACCGTTTCACCTTCTCTCTTTATCCCATCCATGCCTCGCCAACGTGATCCGTGTTAGGACAAACACGAACAGCTGTCAAGTCACTTGCCCTCGACTCATTCGCACTGTCTGTGCAATGATTTTCCGCCCCATCCGGCTCAGATTTTCGACCGACAATCGATCCGCTTTCCACTTTCCAGCTCACACGAAAACAAAAATAAAATCACGGTTCGCGTCAGACTCGGCTAGAGGCCGTGTTTTCCGCGTCCACACTTCAAGGATCAAGGCTCACACAGGGTTGGAGGAAATCTGTTCCGACCCAATTTCAACGTCATCACGTTGACCTTTACGAGCCATCCAGCCGCTAACACCCTGTACCACTCGACGGATATTCCATTCGGGTGAAAACAGTCACCATCAAACCCTCTGGAAAGCACACTCAATTCAGGTGCAAACCTCGTGACCGCTATTCACTGCCACTATTCAGACCTCCTATGCCTCGCCCACATAATCCTTGATAGCCAAGATCACAATGCCATCAGCTCACTTCATCGAGACGCAATCGCACTCTTTGGGCAGGACTTTCACCTGTGCCGGGATCAGAACGGCCGACGGTCGACACTGTTTCGCTCTCACACATGGAATTCGCCTTTGCCCACTCTACGCGGCATGCCACGCATCAGTTACGACCATCACGAGAAAAACAGCCCCCCAAAGCGTTGAACCCGGTGTAAGCATCACCAAAAAGTCAGGAGGGCACGCGAAATTCGTGTGCAAACCTTCAGACCCACTTGTACACTGGTCGAGGTCACCCAGCCCCTGACCGTCGTCAACTCGTCAACTCGAACACCCACCCTCTCATAGGTAGCACTGCACTCGCACACCGCATCATCTATCGACCCTTCGAAAATCGCCAAGCCCATTTTGGTATTTCTCCGACTGGACTTACCCGTGCTAAAGTATAGCAGGAGTTGTCTAATTTTTCCTTCTAGCCTTTGACAGCGCGAATTGCTGCCGCTGACACTCAGAGGCAATTGCTTGCGTCTTTTCCGCATTTACACCATAGGGAGTTAGCAAATTATCGGACTTAGAAATATTTTGACGAGCAGATGGTGGAAAGCCTGCATACTTGAATTTGGGAAAGATGTGCAGTTTCACAATGACTTGAGGCCATGATGGAGGATGAGCAACCACAGGTGCCTTCACCAGAAGTTTGTGTTAGTGAGTATTCCTTTCTTCAGGGCCTGAGCGAAATCAAAGTCTTCACCATAGGGATTTGCGACTTTTTCCGAACCTGAAAAGACCACGAGTTCACCGCGCGCAAGGAGCTGGCAGTTGTTGAAGTTTTCCATTCTGCAAACGTTCACCCAAAGTGCACTACTGGGAACTTGAGGACTGCAGCGAAGATACGGACTGCAGCGAAGCAGCATACATTCAATGGCGCTTGTCAGGTTGCCTTGTGTAGTTCGGTTTGCGAAAAAGCAGTGGCAATTTACCGGTATTCCTTCTGCCTCACATGTGCCATAGCAACTTTGTTCCTTCAGAATGTATTCTTTGTAAAAGTGATAAAGGCATTGTTCGGGTTGCTCGCCCTTCAATGATTGCGCCTGCGGTGTAGCTTATGTCAAGTTCGGTTGCGTACGCCTTAGTACGTCAAATGGGGTGTGTTTTTCAAGTTGAGATTTGGCAGGATGACAGTAGTAAGACAACTCGGATTCTTCCAGCATCCCACTCCCAAGACCGAGATCAAACTCGTCAACGCTCCACACATAGTATGGCGAACAGCGTATCCACGTCTAATGCTGTTCTCACCAACTGCCCACCCAAATCCAACAGAATATGCCGAACAGCCGTCAACCCATTCACCGCGACACAATCGCACTCTTCGCACATGGCCTTTCCGTGCGGCCAAGTTGGACAATTCATCTCAGTATCGACAGTTTTTCATCCTCACCGTGACACCGAAACTCAATCCATCATTAGAGTCACACGAAATTCGTGTGCAAACCTTCTGAACGACCGTTTCAGCTTCGCTCTTTATCCCATCCATGCCTCGCCAACGTGATCTGTGTTACGAAAAACACGAACAGCCGTCAAGTCACTTGAACTCGACTCAATCGCACTCTCAGTGCAATGACTTCTCTGCTAGTCCGGCTCAGATTTTCGACCGAACCAAATCGACGCGCTTTCCATCTCACACAGGCCGGGAACAAACCATTTCCGACACTATTTCAACGTCATCACATTGACCCTTACGAGCCACCTAGCCGCTAACCCTCTATATCACTCCGCGGATATTCCATGCAGGTGGAAACGGCCACAAACATACATAAAACCCTCTGGAAAGCACATTCGATTCAGGTGCAAACCTCGTGACCGCTATTCACCTCCTCTGTTCAGCCTCGCCCACGTAATCCTTGTTATGGCCAAGATCTCACGCCATCAGCTCACTTCAGTGAGACACTGTGAGGCACTCTTTGGTCAGGAGTCCGAGAACCTTCCCAGTGCCGAAATCAGAAATTTATGCCGACAATCGACACTGTGTCGCCCTCACACACAGAGATCGCCTTTGCCCACCCAATGTCACCGCATTGGTTACGAATCATTCAGCCGGCAAGGGGTTGAATGGCGTTGAACCCGTTTCGAATAAAATTTCATGCCAAAATGAAAAAATCACTCATTCAGGAGAGCAAACGAAATTCGTCTGCAAACCTTCAGACCCACTTGAGCACTGGTCGAGATGACCCAGCCACTGATCATCAACTCGAACACCCACCCTCTCCTAGGTAGCACTGCACTCCCACTCGCACATCGTAGCACAACAAACACCGCCGAAAACTCACGTAACACCGCTCCCGTTCGAGTTCGGCGAAGCAGCACCCCGATGACCAATGTTGTTCTCACCTACTGCCGTCTCAACGGTAACAGAAGTACCGTAACAGTCGGCAACTCGCTTCTCTCCGACGCAAATTCGACGCAGTCGCGCCCTTAGTTTATGGCTTTGTCGTAGTCTACGCCCGGTTTGAGAAATATAGTAGGAGCGTCGACACTCCTTCGCCCCCGCACAGGGACACATTGCAACAAAACTCAATCCATCATTAGAGTCACACAAAATTCAGGTGCAAACCTTCTGAACGACTGTTTCACCTTCTCTCTTTATCCCATCCACGCCTCGCCAACGTAATCCGTGTTAGGACAAACACGAACAGCCGTCAAGTCACTTGCCCTCTACTCAATCGCACTGTCTCAGTGTCTGTGCAATGATTTTCCGCCCCTCCGGTTCAGATATTTCCACCGACAATCGACACGCTTTCCACTTTCCATCTCACACAGGGTGGGAGCAAACCCTTTCCGAGCCTATTTCAACGTCATCACATTGACCCTTACGAGCCGTCATCACATCGACCCCCACGAGCCGTCATCACATTGACCCTTACGAGCCATTCAGCTGCTAACCCCCATTTCCACTCGACGGATATTCCATTCGGGTGAAAACAATCACCAACATCAAACTCTCTGGAAAGCACACTCAATTCAGGTGCAAACATAATCCACATGATCCTTGTTATGGCCAAGATCTCACGCCATCAGCGCACTTCAGCGAGGCACTCTTTATCCAGGAGTCAGAACCTTCCCAGTGGGGAAATCAGAAATTTCGGCCTCATCCAAGGAGATCGCCTTTGCCCACCGCACCCTACGCCACGGCATCGGTTACGACGATCACGAGCCTTTCAGCCGCCAAGGCGTTGAACCCGTTGAATGTGATTTCACCACATCACCAAAGACTCAGTCATTCAGGGGAGCACGCGAAATTCGTGTGCAAACCTTTGGACCCACTTGTACACTGGTCGAGGTCACCCAGCCCCTGACCGTCGTCAACTCGTCAACTCGAACACCCACCCTCTCATAGGTAGCACTGCACTCGCACACCGCATCATCTATCGACCCTTCGAAAATTGCCAAGCCCATTTTGGTACTTCTCCGACTGGACTTACCCGTGCTAAAGTATAGCAGGAGTTGTCTAATTTTTCCTTCTAGCCTTTGGGAGTGCGAATTGCCGCCGCTGACACTCAGAGGCAATTTCTTGCGTCTTTTCCGCATTTACACCATAGGGAGTTAGCAAATTCTCGGACTTAGAACATTTTGACCAGCAGATGGTAGAAAGCCTGCATCATCGAATTTGGGAAAGATGTGCAATTTCACAATGAATAGAGGCTATGATGGCGGATGAGCAAGCACAGGTGCCTTCACCAGAAGTTTGCGTCAGTGGGTACTCCTTTCTTCAGGGCCTGAGCGAAAACAAAGTCTTCCCAATAGGGAGTTAGCAAATTGTCGGACTTTGAAAATGTAGCCGAGCATGATGGTGACAAGCCTGTCAAACAAAGCCAACAGAATGACTGAGTAGTGCTCAATTCACTCCACTCCGACACTATGGCACTATTTGTGCAAGGACTTTCTGTGCACCCGTGCACAGGATTATTATTAGAGAGGTTAAGATGCACGTTATTTCCGACGTGACGCGCAATTTCATGTCAAATTTGGCGTAAAACTCCAAATTTCGACATGAGCAGCAGGTCACTCACGTTGATTTTTCGACATGCGTATTGTTATTTTACCCCAACATCGATGCTGTTCCGTTCTCATGCAGTGAACAAACACACTGCCACTCAAACTCAATCAAATGACGGAGTCACACGAAATTCATGTGCAAACCTTACAAAACCACTTTCACTTTCTCAACTTATCTCACACAATCATACCTCGTCCACATAGTGCATGCTACGATGATTCCAGTGACCCTACTAATAGTAAATGATCAAATAAAAAAAAATCAGCACATCGTCGTGGTAACAGCCTAACACCGCCAAGCGCTCACTCATCACCACTGCTCTGTGTGAGATCTGCGGAGGAGTGTCCCCGGCGGCTAACATTGTCCTAGCTGTCAACCACCGGGCCACAGACTCACGCCTCCGGCAGAGTTGTAGGTGAGAATGGTGAACTGTTAAAAAAATGTCACGAGAGTTGGGCCTACATGAAATGGTACAGCAGTGGATATATCTGGGAGCAAACAGAATGTGACTCATCGGAGCAGTGATAGTTTGTGAGGCTATGGCAGGACACGCAAAACCTTCACAACTCGAGCAATAAGGACCAACCATGTACTTGTACTTGCCAATGGTTGCTGTGCTATCATCGGACATACGGCCAATGGTATCACTGCCCACAATAATGCCATCAATGAGTGGCAAACTCAGTGCTTGTGATGACATAGGCTAGCTACTCCATACAAAGCACACCTGTGATGGTGACACCATTGCAACACCTCTATACCATAGGAAGCAATAAATGACCTCAAGAAAAGGGTGATTGCTGCACGAGGTGGCTATAATAGCGATCAGATTGCCATGGCTGGCTACTTGTTCCAGTCGTACTGCCTCACAGATTCACAGTAGCTTGAAGTTGGACAGGCAAAGTAGACTGGATGATAATACAACTTCCCCTTCATCAAACCTAAGGAATAATATACAGCAGCAGCAGCAGCAGCAGCAGCAGCAAGAACAAGCCAGAAAAGGCAAACAGTCGCCATATTTTGCTTTGCTTTTTCAACGTTGGGATTTCTGATCAAGATGGACAACTAGGTCAAAAATCCAACCAAAGTTGTCTGGAAGTCCCCCGAACAGCATGATGTCAAGCCCCAAATATCATGATGTCATGCACCGATCATCACAATGTCAAGCCCCAAACATCATGATGTCATACACCGATCATTACAATGTCATGCCCCAAACACCATGATGTCAAGCACCGATCATCACAATGTCATGCCCCGAACATCATGATGTCAAGCTTTAACTTGCTCTGCACATGCATCAACGTCTTCACGATGATGCAAATCAGCGTGTGCTGCACTGAGCAGGGAGCTGCTACATGGCTTCTCGCTACACTCTACAGACGGCAACGTGCACCAATTTGTAATGTTACTAATGTACACCAAGTTTGTAACATGCAACAAATTTGAAATATGCACAAAATTGCAAGGTGAACCACTTTCACCAATGTGCAAGGATGTATTCCATATTCAAACACCGCTGCACACTGCAATGAGCTTTGTGCAAGAATATCATGAACCCACACATCTCTACCATTGTACAGCAACAGCCGCAAAAGCAGCGGCGGTGCTGGTGGTGACACCACCACCACCACCAGCAGCAGCAGCAGAAGGTAGCAGCAGCAGCAGCAGGTAGCAGAAGCAGCATCACCAGCAGACATATTAGTAGCAGCAGCAGCACCAGCAGAAGCAGCGGCAACGGAATACAGACCGACGCAAATGGAAAAGTACAATCGCTCAGCATGAACACGTACCTTGAAAACGCGCAAAGTAGCTTTTTGACCATGGCCTTATCAGCAGGGGGGAGAAGATCTTCTTCTAGCAGTGCAATGTCATCTTCTTTGTCTTTACCATCTGATTCAGAAAGAAGTATCTTGGCTTTCTGTAACTCAAACTGCTGCTGACGATCCAAGAGACGCCTAGGATTAAGACAGGACAATATTCCATATTTGCCAGGACAACATGTTACACATGGGTATATTGTGAGGAAATCTAGAGCAAGCAACAGTGAGACACTAACATTCCCAGTCTTGGGTATTCACTAGGGTAATAATACACACTTGATCAAAATGTTGCGCTTCACCCGGGTTGAAATCGAGAATACGTACTATACTGTGTGTATGTGTGCGTACTTTGCTCCAGGATGGCATTGAACAGTATTAAAAACAGGATTGTACAGGATTACACAGGATGGCACTGAACAGTATTACACAGGATTGCACAGGATTGCAGAGTATTGCACAGCATGACACGTACACATTTCTCACCAAAGTAGTCAGCAGATCACTTGGGACTGTAGAAATGGACTTTGTTGGTATACCAGTATTCTCCCCGAGGTCAACAGTGCACACTCCACTCGTGTCAGCACACACCATGTTTCAAACATATAGACTTTTAAAGGGACACTCAAATCTCATTTTCGAGGTTGAGTTTTCGATGCAAAGACGAAAGGTAGGTGAAAGAGAGGACCACTTGGACAAGAACGAGTGTAAAGTGAAGCTAAGACACACATCATGGCAACCCCCTCCCCCTTCTAGGAGCCAAGCCATTGATTTGCAGGTCACTTGCAATGCCCAGGTTCTATCAGTAGTCCTATCAGCAAGTATCTCGGCCTGCATTTCCATGGCGACATGTCAAGGAGCACCATGGTTGACAGCATAGCCCGTAGAGTAGCTTGGAAAGTCGCAGTGTTACGTAGGTATGCTGCATCCTTGCCATTTGCTCGCCCTATTGCCTTTTTCAGATGTTTCATACTCCCAGAATTTCTCTACGCTTGCACCGCATACACCTCGTATCTCTCTGTTACTCAGGAGACTAGGCTGGGTAGATTGTTTAACCGAGCTGTCCGTGCTATATATAAGGCTCCCCCTTGGTCCCTATGGTGGAGCTGCTCACATGCACTGCCATTCATCCCTTCAGGTTTTATGTGCAGCAGCGTGTACTATGCTTTATCTGGCGCTGCCTGCACAGTGCCTCGAGCCGACTATTTAAACATTTCTTCTCCATCGCTCCATGGCGGAGAATGCGGCGTGGTAGTAGTAACTTGCTCCTTATTCCGCCTGCCATTGCTACTCACTCGGCCTTATTCCGCCTGCCATTGCTACTCACTCGGCCTTATTCTGCCTGCCATTGCTACTCACTCGGCCAGGCACATAACGCATGCAGGTGCTGTGCTATGGAATGCTCTACCTCCGAAAACTAGATGCATTGCATGCTCTTGTTAGTATTTCGTACTTTTCTCTCCCTCCACGACTTCTCCCCCACCCCTCTCTCACACTCACTATTACTTTACCCAAGTGGGTCCAGTGCCATTAGGCTTTTGCCTGTTTCAGATTTACCACTACAGATAAAGAATACAACAACAACAAGAAGCTATCGAGTTGAGCGGGAAGACGACTTGTATATTTCGCCGAGCGAGGGCCTAATGACGTCACATGCGGTTAGCATGCCGGCCAAGATGCACCAGCGCACATACATTCGTTGCAGAATTTATTTTTCAAACGAAGAGAAGTTTGTGCGCAATGTATTGCCAACGTTGTGAGAGATGGCGTCTTCTATAGTTCTCTACCCTTCCAGGGACCCTGACTATCCTAGCAATGAGACATCACCTCTAGCTAAACATTGCTCATCTGCTATACTTTCGTGCAGAGATGCGTACTGGTCGTGGTGATGATGCGGAATGTTGAATCCGGGAAAAGTATTTTCGAAGATGGAGACGGAGGTTGATACTAGTAGCCATTATTAACCCTTTCCATGCCGGGGCCCCTTTTCTCCAATCGGCCGGCTGTCCAGAGCACTGACTCTCTTGGTGTAGTTTGTGCGCACAGCTCTGAATGGAATTTATTCTCATTTCACTCCACCATGATGGATTTTCATCATCCTGGGCTCGTTGGAAAGATCAGGACCAAGCGAAGCCATCATGGTAGATCTCAGCAACATAGACACACCAGGGCCACTTCCACCTCCTCTCCAAACTACTCCACCGTGCCTCGGAACGGCACAACAACTCAATCTCACGTTCTTGTTCGGCATCTTGCCCAAATTCAACCGGTTTTCACGATTCGAACTGCGCTGCAAAGCTGAGATCCAAGCGCTTCATTTGATGTCCATCACGCATGCGTCGTGCCAAAGGGAAATCCCCTAGCATGCTCCAAAAAACTGCGAAGTCATGAACAAAAAAATTCGTGTTCGCTCCGGCCCTTGATTTTGGTGTTCATCCTGTCGCCGCTCAGTGATTCTTTATCCCATCGCGACGAACGTTATATCCACGGAAAGATGAGCTCAAGACCTTTTCAACGGTGTATTGATTGTCGCGATGCGGTTATGTTTCACAGAGTTACGATAGTTTGTACACTGGTCTATGCACGGAACAAAAAAATTCGTGTTCGCTCCGGCCCGTGATTTTGGTGTTCATCATGTCGCCGCTCAGTGATTCTTTATCCCATCGCGACGAACGTTATATCCACGGAAAGATGAGCTCCAGACCTTTCCAACGGTGTATTGATTGTCGCGATGTGTTTATGTTTCACAGAGTTACGATAGTTTGTACACTGGTCTATGCACTGCAATGTAACGTGCGCACTACGAGGACGAGATATCTCGTCCTTGGCCAATCGCGTGGGGGTCTGTAGGACGAGTTATCTCGTCCTTGGCACTGAAAGGGTTAATGGACTGTAGCGATTCTACAACAGACAAACTTTAATAAATACAACAGAAAAAAGAAAAAGCTGGCATACCTGTGTTCCTTCTCCAGTGATAATCTCTTTTGTTGCAGATGTAGCAGACTCTAAGGTTACACAAACATGCACATACACACATGCACATGCACGCACATACACGCACGCACGCACACACACACACACACACACATGAATGTACACACATGCACACCCACACACACACACGCACGCACGCACACACATACACACACACACACACACACACACACACACATGAATGCACACACATGCGCACAGTCACACACATATTAGTCACATACACACAGTCACACTTACAGTGAAACCTGTCTAAGACGACTGCTCAAGGACCTTCAAAACGTGGTCTCTGTAACAAGATGGTCTCCTTATCCAGGGTCGTTTGACTGGCAATAGCATCCCTTGGTCCTGGTTGCAATGGTCTTCTTGACAGGTGGTCGCCTTTAATATCCGAGTGGTCGCCTTGACAGTTTTTTGTCCATGTATTGTATACTTGTACTTGCTCAGTGCCAGAAACTGATCACGTGGGTCTCTCCGGGACAAGGCAGAGAGATTCAAAAGGAATCTTGGAAAGATGACTCAATTCGCCATTGGAGCGCCTGGTGGTCGACACCCCTTGAAATCCCCAAACTCTGGGTGTACTTAGAAATGATGCCAGTAATGGGCTCACCACACTGCAGTGAGTGGGGAGAGGACAAGGTGAAGAAAAGGATTGACGACATCAAGGTATCTGTGCCGGGATCCAACAAATTTAACCCTACGCCCAGTGAAGGTAATACTTCTCACTGGTGCGTGGGTGGCTAAATCAGAGTGAATCTGATACAGACATCACTTTAGCACTACTGACTGTTCAAGAGTTAATCTAGCCAGAAGTAGTCCATTGGTTAAACAGGCTACTTCGAATAGAAAGTATATAGTGGAATATAGGGGAACTGTCACCAAAAATTTTCTTTGTCTTATCTTGTAGTTATTTGGCTCCTGATCACGATGGTGTTATTCGTTTTTCTCTGTGATGACTGGAAGTGGGTGAAAACTTGAAAAGAAGGTCCCCAAAATTGTCCCGAAGTACCGAGTGACGTCACGCCGGACTTGACCTCCACGCGTACATTCGTCGTCAAAAACGAAGTTCAGCCCGTGTGCTGGTCGATCGAGCTAGCTGTTCCAATGTACGGTGCATGTGTGCCTTTTGAACTGTAACACAGATGGGTACGTCGTACCGAAGGAGAATGACAAAGAGGCAGAGACCCACGCGCAGCTACACAGCCAAATCAAAGTAAAAAGGAGCTGAGCTTTCACCTTTTTGACTTCTTCCGCGAGGATCTAAGTTTTATTTTGTGAGCACGGAAGTACGTCGTTGTTTTGAACTTTTCGTGTGAGGAACAAGACGATGATGAGTGCGTATGCAGAAAACAGTGCTCCTCCGGCCGGCGATAACACCACCAACCCGAGCCCGAAAGGAACGCAATGTAGGTACGTGAAGGCGATTCATCTGGCGATGTTGCTGAAGATGCAGATGACAAACTCCGACGTCTTTCATTTCAGAGCCGGGTGGGCAACACCGCCACCTTCGATACAACGACATAATTTTCAAGTACAAGGTATGTGTGTCACACTAACAGCAAACAAACATCCTTCCACTCCTTCGTAATCACAAATAAAACAAAGAGCTGGAGCTTCGTGGAGGCAGTACCAGTGCGACAAACTACTGTCGACTTTTGTTTATTTTGTCCCTTTTGCCTTTTGGCGTTCTCATTGTGTACAACGTACACATCAGTGTCCGAGTTCAGAAGGCAAGCGTGCATGCACCGTACATGTACATCGAACAATTGGCTCGATCGACCAGCACATGGGCTGGACTTCGTTTTTGACGATGAATGTACGCGTGGAGGTCAAGTCCGGCGTGACGTCACTCGGTACTTCGGGACAATTTTGGGGACCTTCTTTTCAAGTTTTCACCCACTTCCAGTCATCGCAGAGAAAAACGAATAACACCATCGTGATCACGAGCCAAAGAACTACAAGATAAGACAAAGAAAAATTTTGGTGACAGTTCCCCTTTAAACCAACAAAGATGACAGGTACAACCATACGCCTCCAAGCCGATGGGCCTGATGGCAACAGAGTTGAACAGACGCAAACCGTTATCAGACATGAGTGCATCCACCAACCAAACTAGCTTGCACACACACACACACACACACACACACACACACACACACATTGCGCGTGTGCTAATGCAGAACTTTCGACTACTTACCTTGTAAGCAAGCTTCAAGCACGTCTGTCTAACATGCTCTTTGTTAACGGAGAAAAGAAAGAATGTTCTGGATGGAGCATGGTCCGGTGTACGGGGTACCTCCTGCAACAATATAAACACATACACACCAGAATATCCTCTAAAAACCACTCAATGGAAAGAAATTGCACAAAACAAATTATTGTGAAAAGAAGAAGGACAAAATGTTACGAGTTATGACTAACTGTCCACCAACCAAACAAATTGTGCTTAAAATTCTGGGCTATAATTGTCAGGACACAGTCCACAGCAGCACACAGTACACTTGCCTGGTACAAGGGTGCACACAGTACACAGGCACTGCAGTGACTGCACCCTTCCCTGCTACAAGTGAGCCAGGCAAGAGTGCAGTGCCCGGGAAAAGAGCTTCTCAACAAACCTTTTCAGATCAGAATTAATTTTCAATGTAAACTGTCAGGGAAGTGGAGTCCGGGGCATACGAATGTTTAGTCCAGACGGAGCCTTCGCCACTTAAAATTTAGTCATTACCACGCAAATTTATATCCGGGAGGACATCAAAGGGTTTAAATGTTGAATGTTAGTATAAAATAGCTCAAGGGACATTTTGTATAAAATACAAAGTTTGAGGGAATTTCAGGGATTTTCGGGGAGATATTGAAGAAAGTGCTTTCCAAACAGGCGGCAAGGGCAGGGGCGCAGCAGCCGGTCTGGCTGGTCCGGCTTTGGCCGGATCACATTTTTTTAACACAATGCCGAAAGTGCTCAGAATGCAGGATTTTGCACCCTAATTTTAAAATTTCCCAGGGGGCGGGGAGACCCCCGAACCCCCTCCGGCTTGACCACCTTCGACGGCGATGCTACGCGCCTAAAGGGGGCCAATAATTTTAAAATCGCAATGAACAGTACCAGCGGAATAGGCATGTCATGGAATGGCTATCTTAAATTCGGAACCTAAATGTACGTTATCTATTTCTTTGTCCGCCATCAAGTTCTCACTGTGTACGTTCTGAATTGAATATTCAATAAAGCAGGTCCACGACATATCGATTCAGCTGGTACGAAGGGGGGGGGGGGTTAAAACTTTCCCGGAGAGATAAATTTTCAGAGTTTTCAAGGGTTTTCAAGTGTACTACGAGCCCTTACAAACAAACAGCAACAACAATCAACAACAACGACGACGACAACAACAAGCAGAAGCAGCAGACTTGCCTGCAGAGTAACAAAGTGAGACCTGAGCATGCGATACATGAGCTCCTGAGCCTCCTTCGATGGAATCATGGCCATGTCACCGATCTGAAAGTATAATACCACCGCATGCAGCAGATGATGTGAAATAGCACACACACACACACACACACACACACACACACACACACACACACACACACACACACACACACACACACACACACACACACACACACACACACACACACACACACACACACACACACACACACACACACACACACACACACACACACACACACACACACACACACACACACACACACACACACACACACACACACACACACACACACACACACACACACACACACACACACACACACACACACACACACACACACACACACACACACACACAGACACACACACACACACACACACAGACACACAGACACACAGACACACAGACACACAGACACACAGACACACAGACACACAGACACACAGACACACACACACACACACACACACACACACACACACACACACACACACACGTACACATACACACGAGCACACACAGCAACAAGGAGCTGCTTAAAAAAAGACGGCAGGCCATGGACAGTGGGCAATGTTATGACAACTGATACAAGTTAAACAGCACGACAGTCACTACAGGGCTAGACATAGTGGCAGCATCACCACTACCACCAGCATCGATGGCATCACCACTACCACCAGCATCACCACTACCACCAGCATCACCACTACCACCAGCATCGATGGCATCACCACTACCACCAGCATCACCACTACCACCAGCATCACCACTACCACCAGCATCACTACTACCACCAGCATCACCACTACCACCAGCATCACCACTACCACTAGCATCACCACTACCACCACTACCACCAGCATCACCACTACCACCAGCATCACCACTACCACCAGCATCACCACTACCACTAGCATCACCACTACCACCACTACCACCAGCATCACCACTACCACTAGCATCACCACTACCACCACTACCACCAGCATCACCACTACCACCAGCATCACCACTACCAACAGCATCACCACTACCACCAGCATCACTACTACCACCAGCATCGATGGCATCACCAGCAACCCACTCCTTTCCACAAACTTGAGTCTAAACTAGTACAGCTGCTGCTGCTACTGCATGTGTATTCATACAGGCCAGTGAGAGGATTGTCACTATTGAAAGGTAAGAAGAGCAATAGGACAATGGCAGCAGCCAATGTTCTCGTCAAGATTGAAGTAACGAACCTACAAAGTTTCCATGCCGCTTGTCATGACAAAGCAGCAGGCTCATAGACAATCAGCGGGAAACAGAAGGGAAACACAACTGAAAGGATCATAACAATGAGTCTCACAACCCCAACAAAATGTGAGCATAGCAACCAAGGCAAACTTTGGGCATTGACTAAGCAGTGACATGAGTAAATAGAGAGGCTCCGCACAACGTAATTACGTCACTAAAAAACGTAGTCGATCTACGGAAAGTCTTTACGTAGACTGCATGCAGATCCGTGTTCCGCCATACGGAGTTTTCAAACCACATACTTCGAAGTACATGTAGCTGCACTTGACAACTCCAAACGCGACAGTGTACGGCCCAAGAAGAGACTCAACAATTTGTACTCCAATCCACTTACGGAGCACCACTGTTAGTAGATCCCAACTTACGTACTCTACGTAGACAACTTTGCGTAAGTGGAGTGCAAACTCGCGAATTCACGGGTTTTTCCCGCCCGCTTTAATACGTAAAGTTGCTCAATGTTACGTAGTGGGGAACCTCTCTAATGCTGCGATACAATAACAATTACTCGCACCTGTTTCTCTTCTAAGTGTTTCTTGTCCAGCAAGAGGCGAAACACACGCAGGCACTTAGAGCCAAACCTGTAGGCAAGATATAGAACGCATAGCATAGAAATCACACGCACGCACACACACACACGCGCACACACACACACACACACACACACACACACACACACACACACACACACACACACTGACACACTGACACACACAGACACAGACACAGACACACACACACACACACACAACCATACATCAATCTGTACATATACGTAAAACAAGCAGCGATGAAAACATGCACATACTTTCATGAAACACATGACCAGTGCAAACAATTTAAATCCTATCAAAGTGGTAGGCTACGTGGATATATCCAAAAGCAAGAGGCAACATAAACACGTACCTTTCTTGTACAAGTGAGACAATAGCATTCTCAGCCATGGAGTCCAAACATTTATCCAGCTCTGAGGATTAATCTCACTGTCAAGGAAACTTAAGAAACAGCCCAAGTCCCACCTTGCCATTTTAACCCTTTAACCGTCCTATAAATTTCACCCATTGAAACGCCGAACGAAATTTTAACTTTGCCAGGTCATAACTTTAGTTGTACTCACTCGATTTTTATAATCTTGGGTTCGTTGGAAAGCTCTGGACGAGACCAGCACGATGATACCACATTCTTTGCCTCAGCAGTCACACAACCAGCACTGGAACGCAGCGACGTCGTCTCAACGCCAGGCATGCAAATGACAAGTTCAAAACTCCGCCATGGCCGTCTCCTTCATCGTAGAGTGTTCAAATTTTTTTTGAGAGATCGACCATTTCGTGAGGAATACGTTGGTCGCGAGCAACAGTCACAGAGCGCGTGAAGAAACGGGGAAATCCCGTGACGACGTCAGCCGCGCGCCCAGCGCAGCGGAAGTGACAAGCGTGCAGTACTCAGCGCTTGATAACTCTGCTCCACTACATCGTAGCTCAACGCGGATTTCTGCAACAGAAAGCCTGGAAAATTCGCAACCGAATCGATAGTAAATTTTCTATCGTGGGTAAAAAATCATTCCAGTGCGAGTATTTCAAATGATGGGTCGAATTCGACCCACAAATGTATGGTCTGACGGTTAAAGGGTTAATAAATAATTAGAGCACAATCCATCGAAGGGGTGGTAACATTGAAATTAACACAGTACAGTCAAGGGAATTGCACACGTCTTCTCAGATGCAATCAATATGTGAAAGAAACTGACAAGCATCCCCAACCTCAATGGCTACGTGCCTGCAACTTCAACAATGGCAAAAGACAGATTAGCATCATAATGCTATCCTACAGGATAACTAGAAGTCAAGAAACGTGCAGGACAAGTGCCCATTGAAACAAGAAATAGATTGATCTCCATCACGACACAGCAGCATT